TCTTATTTTCAACGTAGAACTTGTAAATAATACCGATAACGTTAAGTATGGAATTATATTCTGGCGAGTACTCATATTCACATTGCGTTCCATGACGAATCAATTGTATTCAAATAAAATCTCTGCATGATATACAGAAAACTCTAAAAATTAGCGAAATTTTATTTTAATGTGGATTATTTTTTATTAAATATCCATCTTAAAAATATGATTTAATACATTCTGTAGTATATACGATGCTAAATACAATGTTAAAATTATTCACTAACAACTTATTCATCAGATTTATTTAGGGAATTATTGAAAAAAGAAATAGTATATCTTTTCATTACATCAATGTTGGCTATTTACACACCATTTATACATATATATATATATAAAATTTATAACTAAATATACAAAATAATTATTATCATAGTATCTCACCATTGTACTTTGAATGATTGTTTTAAATCGATATTTATACTTTTTAGTTATAAATAACTAAAAATTAATTAATTTTTAGAAATATAATAGAAGAGAAAATAAAAATTTTTTCAGTTAAAATCTGATTTTTTAAATTAGATTAAAATGATTTTATTTTTAGTATTGTGCGCTTGATAAGCATTTAAATAGCACCGGACTTATACAACCTTAATATGACCTTAAATTTATATAATTATATTAAAGAATAAAAGTAAGTAATTTTATAACAAATAAAAGGATACTAATGGGACAATATATGTATAAACTAGATAGATGAATAATGTGAAACCACTGCTTTTTATCATTCGTTAATTTAGATTACACATTAACAATCATATTACATATGTAAATATCCAACATTGGTTCTAACTGACTGTATACAAATTTGCACAATAAGAATATTAGTATTTTTGTAATTACGTTTCTTTGTACTGTACATTACTTTCACTGAAAACACAACTGCGTCTATTTAATGAGATAAGATTAAACAACACATTCACACTTTGGAAATTTGTAAACTCTGTATTCAAAAGTCTTTCTCTCCATTTAAAAAGAATTGATAAAAAAAAAAAGAGGAAAATTTTTCAACATTTAATATCATTACGTATAAAAAAGGCCTTTCATTTAATGTATCACATGATAATCTCTCAAGTCTACGAGTTAATATTCAGGTACTAAGCTACCTGAGATAGAGATACATACGTGTAATATTGTTACACTGTCACTAGCAATCTAGTTATGAAAATATTGTAAGGTTTTGGGTAAAGTGAATAAAGAATTCTAAGTTTAGCTGTATTTTTTATTTATATGTAACAAGATTTATGTAATTCATAACAGTAGATTAAATCGGTATTAAAATGCAATAAAATGCTTACGAAAGTATAAGTAAAGGCTGATAAACTTGATGAACAGAACCAATAGGTACATACGAAATAAAGTTTATTTCCGAAATATTTATAATCACTATGTACACGATTCTGTACAAAAGTTTAGAAAAACTAATTCACGAACACTACGTACAGCAAACGCAAATATATATTATAATAAATATGTACATTATAAATAATCGTCTTAGTGATCACACCTAGTTCACTCTAATCATCAGTATTCAATTTTATATTAAAAACAGCATTATTTATAAATATAGATTGTAATATACAATCTTTCATATTTATATATATATAAATACATGTATATGTCAACATAAAAATTCACTAGACGATAAATGAAAAGGATAGCTTTTAAAATTTGATGCAGTAAATGTCTCTTTTGTGCTATTCATTCATCCACAATAGTGGCATAAAAATTTATGCAACATATACACAAGATATTAAAACGATATTAGTTTTCAGTATATAGCAACGTAGAATCTATCTATGACGACTTAAAATCTAAATCATTTTGACATAAAACGTTAAATGTTTAAAAATATGAGGGAAAATACATTGCATTAGGCAATGCTTTATTGAATATTTGCTCTTTTCTTTTTCGCATTTCTTTTCCAAAGAAATTATGTGTTGAATATGTGTGGATCCTTATCTATTATTGTATTTTAGAAACAAAAATATATAATTTAGTTATGTATTTAGGACGAATGATTTTCATGCCTATTGAATGAGGCCTCGCAAAAGACATTGACTATTTGATTTCATTATACTAAATAATCATTTTCGTGATTTAATCTTGTACAAAAAATAATGTAGCTATACTCAATGAACACTTGAAGTGGGACACCCTGTATGCTATTATGTCAAGAATCGTTTTTGAAAATTATTTTTTGTTTGATTATAATATAAATAAAATATAATTTATCGCAAAATTATCTCTACATATAATTACACTAAATCACAAGAAACAAATCGTAAATTATGATTTAAAAACAAGATTTGCTTATTTTTTCTTTGGCTGTATTATTACGACCAGGGGCGCCAACTTTTGCGGCGAGTCTGTGGAGTACTCCACACGCCAGAATTTTTCATGTGTGGAATTCCACATATGAACTATTTTTTGAAAATAACTAGTGTTGAGTAAAAATAGAAAAATTTTTTTGGAACTTTTATTTAAAAATTTTAATTACTGACCGAACCGAGCGCGGCCGATAAAATGGTCACGCAATTTTCCTTTCCTTTGATATTGATGCACTTATGGATGAATTCATTGTAGGAAATAAGAATCGAAGCTCAACGTTTACTCTAAATGATTCACGAACTTAAATATATTTCTAATAATATATTGATATATAAATATATACTCTATTAATATATTAATTATATGCTCTAAATCTAAATAGTTCAAGAAGTTAAATATATTTCTAAGAATAATATATTAATATACATATATATGTATATATATATAATTAATCGGCAAGTTGGCGCCCCTGATTACGACATAAGTTAATAAATTATGTATAATATATTAAAAATATGAGCATTCAGGGCTGTATTTAGATTTTCATCCGAGTCATTTCATCCTTATGCTCACCGAATGTTAAACAAGAATAACATGATACCTAGAAAGCACTCGGGTGGGAATTTGAACATACCTCAGGAAGAATATAACGAGTTCATTAATTCTAGTAATAAAAAATAATATTGTAACGAGTGTCCTGAGATTACTGTATACAATATAAACGAACGCAAACAAATAAAAAAGTATTTAAATATTATTTATAACAATTATTTAAAGATATTAAAACGGAATTCTTTTTGAAAGAAACCCTTTTTGAAAATAAGATTATTATAAATAATATAAATTAAAAAATAATATAAATTAATATATATAAAATATTACGCACATTTTATCTTTACGTGTAATTAAATGGAAATAAAAATAGTATTACATGGAAGCATTAAATATGTGACAAATTTATAATCTGTAACACAATGTACATATATGGAGTATCCCGTGAACTTTTAGATTTTTTATTTGACTGAAATTTTTATGTAGTACCCATCGGAAGAAGCTACCATGATTTTTTCAAATTTTTTTTATCAATATAATCATGAGATATGAATTTTTTCGAAATACGCAATTTCAATTTTCAAATGCCTATAACTTTGCAAAAATAATTCAAATGAAACGGTTTTTTTCTCTAAAAAAAATATCAAAAATGTTAAAAAATTTTTTTTAATTTTTTTCAAAAAATTTGATTAATTTGATTATTTTTAAGATTGGTTTGATCGTGAAGAAGTTTTTCCTTCTATTTTTTTTAATTAAAAAAAAATTTTTCAATTTTGCATTTTTTACGTAATAAAATAATGTGAAATCATGATTTTGTCATGACCTACAATTTTTAGTTTATTCTCAATGTAATAAATAACTGATTTTTTTATATTTACCGATTTTTTGGAAAAAAAATGTTCCCGTAATAAATGTTACTTTTATTCTAAAATTATCGTGTTCTTATTATGAATTTTTTTACAATATAATTTTCATTTTTATAAATCATAATTATTTAATCTTTTTTGTAAGGGTACGGCCACACCTCTGTAGCTTTTATGACAATTTTTTGAAAAAATTAAATGTTATTTGAAATAAATCATCATTTCAAAAATTGATAATTTATTACTTCGAACTAAAAAAAAAGTTAAAAAATTTTTGAAACTTTGTTTTTTTTTTTAAGTAGAGAAAAAACAAATAATAAAAAAAAACGTTTGAATTATTTTTCGCAAAGTTATAAGCATAAAAAAATAGAAACTGCGAATTTTGAAAAAAATTCATACCTCATGGCTATGTTGATAAAAAAATTTGTAAAAAATCATGGTAGCTTCTTCTGATGGATAATATATATCAAAATTTCAGCCAAATTAAAATCCAAAGCTTATGGATGGCACACTTGGCACGGATGGAATGCTCCATATATGTTGTATATTTTCATAATTTTATATAATATCATCCAACAAAGATGTCAGTAAAAATCATTAAAACGAATTTATATTTTATATTATAATAATAAAATCAATTAAGACTCCTTATAATTCAAAAACAAATTGGAGAGAATAAAGGACAATAGGAGTCGGGCGCAAAGGTGTCGCGCAATTAAAAACACTATTAAGTGACAAAAACCATTTATTCGAAAAACTATCATAATAAAAGTTTTTCGAATAAATGGTTTTTGTCTGATGTTTTTAATTGCGCGACATCTTTTGCGCCTGACTCCTATTGTCTTTTATTCTCTCCAATTTGTTTTCGAATTTATATTATTATATATATACATAATTATTTGAGAATTAGTATTACTTAAAACTTCCATGTATAACACGTGCAATTGTATCAATCAGATGACTGATTTAATTGTTCAAACTAAATGCATTGTAAATTTCGCCGTTTAAATAAAATAAAATGTCTATTATTTACAATATTGCCCAAGTAATCTACAGGCACACATTCGCTGTAAATATTGTACAGTTTGTTTTATCGTGTGCTTTCTCTACTTAAACGTAGACAATGTTAATATACTGCAGAGAACTTGGCATTAAGAATGCATTGTACAGCCTCAAATGAGCCTTTTGAGGATATGTTTTTTGTGTAATGTGTTAGCCATCCAATGGTGGTCCTAAGTATACCATGGATACTTCTGTATTTCCATAAACCGCAGATACAGATGGATATAATCTTTTATCTGGTAACCCTGTTTATCAAAGTGACTCGTAAAAACTTGACGTTCTTATTTTAATATTTCAAGAAATAATTTTAAAAATAGAAAAAAATGATACATAATTAAAATCTCAAGTTTTACTAATAATGATAATAGATAGTAATAATATAAAAATGTAAAGAAATATGTCATACCTCTAAAAGCTACACCCAAAAATTCATAATTCTTCTCAAAAGATAAGGTATTATCATCACAATCCAAAATTACTCTAATCCTTTCTCCAACCTGCAAATGAAAATGATCAAATGTTAGAAATAATTTTAAACGAGTCGTAATATATCAAAGAATAAATATAAAAAATACATAATAAAATAAAAAATAAATAGTGATACAGAGAAAGGGCTACGAGCCTAATAATTTCATTTAATTTAACAACGATGAATATATTAGGTAGTAAACTCAGTTTCCACAGTTTTTTGCTTAAAAAACTAGTTTATCTCGATATCAAAAACAAAAATACGTCAAAGTATTTGCCCTCGCTATCCACCAAGCCGTGCTACATCAATTGGAACAAGTAATAGTCTAAAGGAGCTAAGTCTGGTGAATATACTGGATGCGGGAGAATTTCTCACTCGAGCTGTATCAGTGTTTCTTTGATGACTTTTGCAACGTGTGCGAGTGTTTTCATGCAAAAGCATAGCCTGCGTCGATTACTGGCTACTGTCTTTTTTCCAACAATGCTTTATTCAGACGGTTCAATTGTAATTGATATCGAACCTCCGTGATATTTTCGTTCGGTTTGAGTAGCTCGTAGTAAACGACGCCTTGCATATCCCACCAAATGCAAAGTATTGCTTTGTGGTCACAGATATTTTGCTTTAGTGTAGATGTTGATGGTTGGCCGGAGCTTACCCATGACCTTTTGCGTTTGGATTGTCAAAATATATCGTTACTTTTCATCGCCAGTCCCAATGCGCCACAAAAAACACTTTTTTCTGTCTGGCGAGCAGAGAAACAGAGACGTTTAAGCGATTCGCAATTTTTGATTAAGTCGTGTGATATCCATTCTCCTTTCTTTTGAATCTTTCCTATTGCATGTAGATGTTTGGAAACAGCCATCGAAGTAACGTTTAATGCTGCAGACAATTGTTGAAGCGTTTGAGCTGAGTTTTCGTCCAATGTTTGCAATTTGGCGTCTTCAAACTTTTTTGATTAACTTGAGCGTTGTTTATCATTCACATCATAATCACCACTTTTAAATCGCTGAAACCTTTCTTGGCATGTTTTTTCCGATGGAGCATAATTGCCATAAGCTTCAACAAGCAATTTATGAGCTGCAATTGCAGTTTTTTTCAAATTAAAGTAATGACGCAACACATGTCGAAAAAACAACTTATTATGTTGCATGTTTAATTAAAAAAAAAAAAATAACATTGTTCACTTAAATGAATCTTTTCGCACTAAATTTTGATGACAAATGTCTAACCTTTAAAATCTGAAACAGCCAGTTTCAGATGTCAAAGTAAATTACACCTACAACTAGCGTTATCTAAATGTGTTATCTAAATGTGAACCACGGAAACTTGTTAAGTTTAACACCTAATATATATTATTTAACAAAACATAAAATAATTAAACAAACGTTTCGACTCCGATTTTTATTTGGAAAATCATAATTTAATATAATATTATATTAAATTATAATTTCTAAATAAGAATTTTACATTCATCATCAAGAAAAAGAAATCTATGTTATAAATAGTCAGTTAAGAATACAAAAACATAGAGAATCGAACACACTAATATGTATCTTAAGACCGTTGTAATTTAAATATTGAAAATGACCCAATTGGAGTCAAAATGTTTGTTTAACTATTTTGTTAAATAATATTCATTGAATATGAATATTCATTGTCGTTAAATTAAACAAAATAGCTCACAACACCAACATTGACAGAAAACTTGCATAGAATTGCGAATACTGTTTAATTTAATCAAGAATGTATACAATATAATTTAATTTATAATACTTCATATATTTTATGTAACATTGAAAATGATCCGATCAGAGTCGAAACGTTTGTTTTAGATATATTTTTATATGATTGTTTAAATTAAATTGTTCGTTAATTTACTTGGCTCGTTGCCCTCTTTATATTTATACTGTTTTAATCAAAATTATTAGGCTTGCAGCCCTTCTTCTGTATCATTTATTTTTATTAAGCCTTGTTACTTATATTTAAAATAAAAAATATATATACAAATGATTTGGTTATTATTACAAATACAATTCATGACAAATTTAATACCTGATATTTTGGGGCATTGTTGAGTAAAGGATAATTTCCCTGTGGATCTCCATTATGTAGTAAATGATTATCGACAAGGTTCCAACCCCAGGAATGTTCATCAGAGCCAAGCAATGCTACGTATCCGTGACACAACAGGGGTGCTTCTTTAGTGGCTATTCCTATTACTGCTACTGTTCCTAATGGTCCTTCCCAGATTACTTCCCAGGCATGACGCCCATGTCGAAAGCCTATTTTGCCTCTACACGCATCTGTACTTTGGGCTACCGGATTTCTGGAATGATACGGTAACTGATGCGAGACATTTTGGATATTGCACTTGTCACATTACTTCATGCTTCTACTATATTATTATAATTTTCACTAATCGCTTAAAAAATTCCATTGTTTATATATATTCTTCCAGAGATCAATTACAAGTAAGTTCAACTCCCCTTCAAGTATCTAAAAAAAAAAAATTCTTCAACTACTCGTCCTACAGAAAAAGTCTTAAAATCTCTCTCTATAGCCTTGTCCACTACATCAATTGACAAATGGTTTTATAGCAGAAAGCAATATTATAACCAGATTGCTCTCGAAATATATCCGTGCTAAAACGGAGTCTTCGTTTCCGACGAGCGTGGGAGGAACAACGTCGCCGCACACCAACCTGTGCAGAGTGAATCCGTTGGGTTTTATGTAAATGTTCCGCGAACAATCGTTCGGATTCCACGCATGATAGAACGCACGCAGTTTCGATTTGTACGTGGGCACAGATGACAACAAGTCGGAGCTGAGGGCTTCCTGGGCAAGCTTTCTTATGCAGTGCATCCGCCACACGTCATTGTTCTCGTCGTTGAGAAACCGGTACCACCGTTTGCACACCAGTGAGCAGTTTCTCAGCGTGTGCAGGTCCAGATACGAAAATATCACCTCTAAAACATGATCAGACGCCCGCAATGCTATATCGTCCATTTTGCCGGGTCTGTCTTCGGAGGAACGAGCGTAAACATATGCGGCACAGAAACACCGTTCGTACGTCACAAACTACGCGCATGTTAGACGGGTACGGGCATTGACGTTCATCGGCGCGCAGCCCGATTCTAGGGAATGTATCCGAGTTATCGAGTATCCCACATTCTCAAGTTTTACACGTTCATGCATTTCAGAACGACTTCGGACAATTTTTGACGGAGCTCCATTTAATTAAAAGTCAACAATTAAAAGAATGACACTGAATTTACTTATTAGATATAATGTCTTTACATTATCGTACACAAGATATAATTAGTACAATTAATATTAAATATAATTAACCTTTCACAATGGACTACATCAGGGAGAAACCCGAAAGGCTATGCCGATATTTTTTCCTGTCACACTATCGCCAATACATCCATTTTCGGTTTGAGAACTACGTACACATCAATTTCCTGTCGATAAAATCACAGAGAATTACGGGCGATTACCATAAGCGCGATTTCGACGGTGAGAAAAAAAGACTTCTTTCTCTCTGCTTTAAAAAATATAATATAAATTATGATTTGTGAATCATTTATATATTTTGTAAATATAAAAAAAAATATACATATTTATAAAATTTTATGTACATTTTCTTCAAATCAAGATGAAATGACTTCACTTACAATTAATCGACTAAAAATTTAATAAATAGAACGTCCTATTTATTATAAATAAATGCATCATGATATAATAAGCATTATACACTCATTTGATTATTAATTATTGAAAAGTTTATTTTTAGCATAGAGAGAGAGAGAGAGAGAGAGAGAAAGAGAGAAATTTCAATTTCTGGCTAAAAATTATATAAAAGTATTTAATAAAACTATAATATTATATTGCAGTATTAAATTAATATTTACTATTTTATTTATTATTATTATTATTATTATTTTTATATTGCAATCATTTGTATATTTTGAGACAATTTATTATCATTTACACGAAAAATTATACAAAATTTATAAAATACACATGCATAAATATATAAACACACATTAATAAACACACTATATAAATAAATATAGGTAAACACGATGAAGTAGTCAGTTTATCGCTTCATTTTAGTGCAATTAGTTGAAATTTTATTATATGACAAAATTTGCGCGCTTCGCGCGCGCCATTAAAGTTTTCATATTATTATCAACTTTAATTTAATAAAGAAATAAAATAGTAAATAAATAAAAAAAAAAAAGAAATAAGAATCATTAAGTTCTGAGTTGAAATAATTATAGATAAATAAAAAAAAATTCCATTTCGTAAATTACATGAGTTCGCATTCTTCATTTTATGTTTCAGGTCAATAAAGTAAAAGGATAGCAAAAAGTGACATTCTTGTCAATTGTATAACTAAAATGCTAAGCGTCCTTTGAAATTGGAAAAAATAGTATCACAGTTTAAGCTAATGCATTTAAGCTAATGCTTCTGCTTTGCAGAACTAAAACATACGATCTGAGTGATGTCAGATAACGTGATTTGCAAATTAGCTTAAACTGTGATACTATTTTTTTCATGTTTCAAAGGACGCTTAGCATTTTACTTATGCAATTGACAAGAATGTCACTTTTTGCTATCCTTTTACTTTATTGACCTGAAATATAAAATAAAGAATGCGAACTCATATAATTTACGAAATGGAATTTATCACACACATTAAGATGTCTACAATTATTTCAACTCAGAACTTAATAATTCTTATTCTTTCTTACGAGTCTTTATGATTCTTTACTTAATGATTCTTATTCTTTCTTACGAGTACTATAATTTGTGCTCTTCAAGTCTCAAGTCGACTACTATCGTTTCAAGATTACTTTAAATTCTATAATATAAATATGAGTAAAGTTGTCATAAAGTTATTAAAATATCAAGCTCTAATCAAGCTCTCTTATATCAAGCTCTCTTTCCTTTCCTTTCTTTCCTTCAAACCTTTCTATACTCTTTTTTTGAAGAATAATGTAACATGTCTCCTTTTCTTTCTAACTAAAAATAAAATCAAATACCACACAAAGAATCGTTTCAAACTGCAAAGAATTAGAAGAAATAAATTAATAAAGGTTATAAAACTTATCTGATTGCGAGACGATCTTGAACAGCGAAGTCTTTTGCACTTTTAACCTCAGTAACCTCAATACAATTTCAAATAAACTTACAATAAACTTCGAGACTTTCGAGATGACCGATACATTTCGAGTATCGATTTAACATCTCCTTTTTATAATAAGAATAAGAAGAAGAGAAGATAAGAAGATAAGTCGCATATTCTGTAAAGATTATTTTATAACAATATGTCAAATTTTGTATATATTTATATAACGATTTTTTATTTAAATTAAATTAAAGTCATTTTATTTTTACAGAAATTTATTGAAGACGAAATAAATGTAGGTAAGTCTTTCAATATTTTCAGCTACATATAAACTTTCCGTTCCCTGGAAAATATCAATTAAAACGGTGCGTAAAATTATCCTCAACCTCGATCCCGATAATTCTGAAAATTTTGAAGAATACAATTCGGAAACAAATCGCATGTATAAATATGTATCATGGTGAAAGGGAATTAAGCAGAAAGAAAAATATATAATGCAGCAAAACCAGAAAAATGGGAGTGCAAAATTCAAAACGGTGAGTGCCCAAAATTATACACAATTTGTGGTTTTAAAAATATTTTATTTTGACAGACAAAATATATTTGCTTAAATTAACAATATTTTTAATATATAAAAAAATTAAAAAATTGTAGAAAAATTAGAAAATAATTAGATAATTAAAAGCAATATTTTAACATTACATTCAATAAATAATAAAAGTAATTTTGAGATAAAGGGTACATTCAATTTTTATATTCGCACTCTGTAAGCAATAGTTTTACACTTGTTATTTATAAAAACATAAATAAGGACAAATAATGTTTACGAGCTCTATAACCGCAAAACGGAATGCACCCCTGCAATAATACTAAATTATTTACATATTATTTAGAAATATTTATGACATTAAGAATTCGACTTGTTCTGTTTTTCTCTTTTTACTTCATTGTAACTACGTTGGGTTCATGAATTGCTTCCTTGATGACGCTTTCCTTGTTGGTCTGTGTAATTTCTTTCTGCTCGTTGTTTGATTGAATATCAGTCGAAAACGTTCTTGGTTGCGCTTTGTTATTCAGTCGAGACGATGAGTCAGAATGTTGAGATTCGAGAGGATTATAAAATGGTCCTCCTGCATTTACAGTCACTGCTGGTATATTATTTGATGAAGCTAAAGAGTCGTAGTTTATTGGATAAGAAGTTCCATAGGTTTCATAAGAACTTGGGTAGACGTAAGAATTTGGATTAGGATAGTACTGAGGTTGATAAAGGGTATTGTCGGTTCCATGTGCAATGGGAAATTCTACATTAATGTTTAAAGGGAAATGATGTTTATGATGCGTCCTTTCCTCCAGTAAAAAATAATTCAATATTTATTATTTGTAAAAATAATCACATATAATGTATTTAGCATTTATGTTCTTTTTAGAATATTGTTTTAAGGATTGTCAGTACTTTTTTGCATCTTTTTTTAGTACATTTCTAACTTAAATATATGTCCAATTAATACTGATCTCTTTCTACACGAATTTGTTATACATACGATAATTTTCTATTTGTTATTTTCAGCAAATGCTCGTACGACTAATATTTCTTCTTGTACGCATCAAAAGATTCCAACTAGAGCGCTTTGCTTTAGAAAAATGTTTCCAGTGAGAAATAACAATGAAATCGACGTCGAATCGATATCAATCGATGTCGATTCCATTGTCTTTTTTCACTGGGTTATGTTGTACATACATCGATCATTATAAAATTGTATGTTATTCAGAGGATTGAAAGAAGGAGAACAACGTTGAAAAGATTTTTATAATTGTTTCTTTTATTTTGTGAACAAATAATACATGAGAATGTTTCCATTGAAGACACATATGTATTCTACATAAAGTTTTAAATATTTCCTCGAAGACTTCGTTGAAAAAGGAATTGGACCAACCATTTTATAAAAAATTAAATATTTAAATATTTTAAATATTTAAATATTTAAATATTTAATTTTTTAAAGATGGTTGGTCCCATTCCTTTTTCAACGAAGTCTTCGAGGAAATAAAGGATTAAACCTGCACGCGAAATCAAATATTATGTAGCTCTTCTTACACAAACTCTCTGTCGAACTTTTTTTTAAAGATTTTTACAAAAAGTTTCATAGAAATTTTTTAAAGAAGCAGTGGAATTGCACGCACACATATGGGAATCTTTTAATGTCGCATTTTTTTTTATCGCATTTCAAGAATATCGCAGTATTGAGATATCGTTCGTATTATTTCGAAATTAATAGTGGAACCGTATGATAAGTACTACTTAAGTCAGCTCTAGCTTACCGCCTTTCTAACTCCTTTTGAATCAAGGAACATGGAATGATCCAACCTGATGTTAGAAATGCTAGGATCGTATTCCGTGGAGATCATCGAGGATCTATGGGGTATAGAATTAAATGGTACGGTATTTAGGGAATCAATAGTTGCGCCATCATGATTTGCCATGCGAGAATCCTTGATTTTATAGGGTGTTATCTCAATGCGGTTCTCTGGTCGGCAGTTACACTCGTATGGACCTACCTCACAATCAGTTCTGTGTTCAAATGGCGAAAAGATCTAAATCAGCAAGAAATAAAATATTTTATTTAGTATGGAAATACTTTGGCTTGTATTCTGTAATTCGTTAACAACAATAATAATGATATCGTTACATTGTCGTCGCACAGATGGTGAACGATAATGTCGTTACTATTATAACGAGTTACAAAATGTCGGTTTTTATGTATTTAGAACATGATGCATCTATTGAAAAACACAATTACAGATTCAGAAAACTAAGAAAAAAGTACAAGAACTTGCTGTAAGCTCAATTTACAGCTTTAACAGAAACTAA